TGGTGACCTACCTCTCTTTCTACCTACACCAACCAGCCAGCAACACCTCCTCCTCCGCTCCTGCCTGGCGGCCCTCGCTCCTGCCGCGAGCATGGCGACCCACAAGCTGTCCTCTGAGCACCCTCACCACCCAGCTCTCTCTACTCAACGCTTGTAACCATGCTGCCTCCCCAGCACCAAGCTGCATTGTACATCCAATACAACATGTATACAGAGAGCACATTGTGAGTTTCCTTTCTCCATCCCATGCTGGGTGTGAACCAACATCTCGTACCCCACAACACCAACGGCGATAACACAAGTAAACAGCGTAAAACTTACTTCCATTGGGGGGTCTAATCACATAACATTAACTCCACAAAATAGACAAATAAACGTGACTACAAATGTAATAAGTACTACATTGGAGTACACTTAGAATAATGGTAGATATTTTCCCCAGTACAACACCCGTGGATCAGTAGTATGGAGAACTACTATCTTTGTAACCGGATGACGTCGACTCCAAACGTTATTAATCCTGGATGTTTGCGGTTCCTGAACGTTTTAACCGGGTTAGCCTTGGGTATTCGAGGAAATAATTTAGCCCTAGCGTCGTGGGACAAACTTCCTGGGGGGAAAAATGAGGATCTCTTTCACCCTCCACTAAACTTTTCATCCTCCACCACGACTGACCTGTTACATCAGTAACTATTGTGTCTGTTAGATAGCAAGCACACAATGGTGATAACAATAATAACACAATGGTGATAGTACATTACCTATTACTTGCGGTAGATTATCGTGTTATCTTGAGTTTGTGAGCTGTACCACTCGTCCCATTTACAATCTACAAAATTAAAAACTCCCTCAAATATTGACTCGTGTTAAAATTTTGATGCACTCATATAATAAAAATAAATAATTCTCTTTCGTGTACTCATTTATGAAAGTCAGTCAGTCACTCGATACAAAAAAGGTAAAATAGTGTTCTCATTATTGTTTCATTACAATTTGGTTATGTAATGAAATAATGATAAATTACCCTATAAAATTTTCTGTTGGACCGCATCAAAGTTTGGAAAAGTATTCTCCCCTGGCTGTGACGTGGGACCATAGTTGTGGGTTTGTTAGGGAGCTCCTGAACCATGACGGGAGACCATAAGAGTTCCTCAAGAGCGGCAATAGAGAGAGAATGAGAGAAGACCGTATTTGTTGTGAGGTGATTCTTGGAATGTGACGAGTGAGGGATCCTATTTCAATTTCACTTTCAACAGTTTATTCCATATTTTAGGTAACGGTATGACAGTGCTGTCACTAGGTACCCCTGTACAATGTTACGAGCAGCATCTGGCAGGGGACTCGGATACATATAAATTAAATAACACAAAGGGGTTTACTGAAGCCTATGAGGAAGGAAGGACATTCCTTCAAAATAACATAAATGTTATTTATGAAATATCTGACCAGAATGCAGGTGATAAGCGTCGTGCCTCCGTCAGGAGGTCGCGAAGTGGTGGTCCAGCAGGTGTCAAGGCACTAATGTGTGTGGACATCTCAGGATATAGTGGATGAGAGAGCGGCTGAGATACAATAGTTGTAGATTCGTCTAGGACTCTATGACCGTGAGCCAAGAGAGATTAGTTAAATAGGTAATGTGAGTTTTATAAGTGTGACAATGCTGAAATAAATAAACAACAGCTACTATTAGTTAGTGAAAGATTACATGAAGTGGAAAACAAGAGAAATAATACTTGTTTGGCACAGTATAATATTACTTAAACGCGAGATAACGTATGCACTAGTTGTGCCGTAGTTGCAATAAGTTGTGTAATGAAGGAGGGCGGGCAGCACTTGACGTCAGTGGTTCATCAGGGATGCTGTTGAAGTGAGACCACGAGGGTGGTCGATGGTGCAGTCCGGACCACCGCCACCTTTACACCCCTTCAGGAATTCACTCACCGCACAATATTAATGGTTAATTAGATGAACAAGGATCATGCAGAGGACAGTGGAATAATATACTTCTGAATTAGGAAAATTAACCAAACTTAACATTACCAAAGTTATTTTAGGAAGGGTTAGGTTTTCGTTCCTTGACTTCAGGCAACAAACCAACCAAACCAATCCTAGCTTGACTTGATGTTTCCTCCTTTGATGGGTTTAACCCGTGTAAACTTATAATTTTCATATAATTATGGCTGACGTCTTTGCGTCGTTGTATAATATATGTTCAGAATTCTTAATAAAAGAAGTTTCAAGTGGCAATGACGCTCGCCCCACAAGGGGTCACAGCTCAAGATTGAAGAAGCCGCAAGTCCAGAAAACTGTGAGGGCAAACTTTTTCGGAGTGAGAGTTGTGAACTCTTGGAACAATCTACCAGAAAGTGTTGTGACGGCACCGAGTGTGAGCTCTTTCAAGACCAGACTTGACCAACACTGGAGCGGGTTCAGGTACATTCAGGAGCCGGTGCATGCCCAGTACTTGCCAACGGTGCGAAACAGAGACGTGACCGATCGCCCAAGCGGCTAACGAGCCGATCAGTGGTGAAGAGGATAAAAGTAAAAGTAATAAAGGTTAATGGTAAAGTAATATCAAATATACGCTCTGCAGATGATAATGCTCTTAATAATCGCAGATATTAAAGGCGTTACAAAAACTAGTTAACACATTAATGTAAAAACATTAAGAATGTGGGTCACGAGTTAATGCTGTAAAGACGAAAGTAATGGTTGTTTCCGAATTGGAAATAAATCCTAAAATAAAATTCATGGAAGACAACAGAGAACTTAAACAAGTGGAAAATTGTGTGTATTTGGGAAGTAACATTAACTGTGATGGTAAATGTGCGAAGGAAATCATAAAAAGAATAGGCCAAACAAAAACAGCATTTAATAATCTCAAGGACCGAATGAAAGGGGACATTATCTTCAATTTGAGAAAAAGGCTGCTGAAGGGATATTTATGGCAAGGACGTAGTTACCAGATATTGAAGAAAGTCCCGGAAAGTGTGTCGTCAACTGTACTATACAAGTTAAGTTTCGCTCTGCGGTAGATCATTAGAAAACACCTGAAACCATTAACCCGTGGACCGATCGCTGTCAGTCTACTCAGTCTTAAGAGTCGCCGCTTATCTAAATTGTGTTAACTGTTACCGAGTGATGCCACAAGCACAAGCTATGAATAAATCTATGAAATTTTCAAGACTTGTTTTGTTTTATTGCCAAGTGCAAGCTCGTTCAGCTGCTGGAGTCATCTCATCTTACAAACTCTGTTAGGCGAACAATATAATAATCATACCATACCCCCTGCAGGCGGCAGGAATTGAAAGCTACTTCCATTAACATTTTAACTTTTTGGTTTAATGTTTGAGCTACCTCTGTGTTCACTTTTGAACTTAGCAACCAGTAAAAAAAAAACTGCGAACTTCAAGTCTGTGGGATACAGGAGCTGGGATGAGAATGGGGTGTTTGCTTGTCTCAGAGAGTGTAATCATTTGCATCCTATTTAACGTAACCTACTTAACAAAATACAAATTGTTGAACTTACTTTAATTTAATACGCTCTCAGATCTTCCGTAGCTTTAGTTCAGATAGCTTAGGTCGATATTTCTTGGTGTTGAACTTGTATGTTATCAGCATCCAAGCTTGCTTCTTCGAAACCACTATCTTACCACATGTGTTATTTTTTTTCATCCCCAATTAATTGAACTAAAAACTCTCATTCTCTGGGAGTTATAAGGCCAGTCCTCGCTGATTGAGAGGAGTAAGAGTACCTGTAGAAGTTCATTGTGATGGTCGTCCTTGTAATCTTGAGTTTGGCGCCTCCGACATACCAACCTCACGAGTAAGACGACCCATCAGTGAAGGCTTATCAACCCTACCCTCGAAAGCCACGCACGGAAGGAAAGAGGTTCGGGCAATTAAAACTACTGTTTGAACAAGGAACTACTCCTACTTGTGGGTTCTTTGTCGAAGAGGGGAGATGTCGATTAAAAACTCCAGGCGTTATAGTTTTTGGGTTGCATGATGTAAGCTGCGTTTGAATTTATAACTCAAAATTTTGTCCAGTAATAAAAAAATCTGAATTCGGAATTGTTATTAGCCTTTGCTTGTGCAATTGCTAATTTATTATGAAGTAATTAAAGAAGTAGGCTATCTGCAGTAAGTTCCAGTGTTCAAACAAAGGGTAGCTTTAAAGAAGACAGGTGCTAAAGCTATCATGAGATATTTAGCGGATAGAAGGAGACAGCCTAAAGAGGATAGACAGCATACCACGGACTATTCATCTGATAAAAGGTGACAGCTTAAAGACGATAGACAGCAAAGAAAGTGGACTCTTTAGTTGATACGAAATGATGGACTATATGGACTTATAACTAAAGCGATATTAAAATTCCCCGGGGAATAATCCTAACAACAGAGAAAAATATAAAAAAATATTTCATCGATAGGAATAAATATAAAACATTGATATTTTGTTGGTGCCTTCTCTTCGTGTGCTTGCATAATTTTAATTTCGATGTCAATGTTGTGAAGAAAGTGAGAATTGTAAGAATGATAATGAAGCTGGCGGTGCCTGACCCCAGGCTGAGCCATGCTGGGCCATAACTTGAAGATCCCGCCTGAGCCGCCATGTTGCAATGCGGCTTAACATACCGCTAAAGCAACAGTATTTTGTCCCCAATTTACCAATATAATAGTATTTATCATATTTTTATTTATATTGAATGTCTATAAAACGGCATTCTATTATACACAAAATGAAAGGATAAAATAAATTCCACAGAAAGTTTATAAGAACTGAGTGAGACAAGAAGTACCGTTGTTTGTCATATTAAATTACACATGGAATGAAACATGGCCAATTTGGAATTATCGTCCTGTAATCCTCGTTTAACACATGATTCCTTACCATTGGATGCGCTTGGCGAGTTATTTATAATTATCTAATAAACAATAGTTGTAACAAAGCTGCATCTGGCAACTGGTTTATTTCGTCATAGGTTGGCGTAAGACAACGAATCACCGACCAGTTTGAGGGAAGAGTTGGTGAGGTGCTGAAGTGAGTAGCTCATATTGTTGATAATTTCTCTTATTTCGAGAATAATTTCCTCGGGTGTATGTGATGGTAAAAGAAAATGTTCCTCAATATGGGAAAGATGTAGCAAGATCGCCGGAAAAAGGACATATTTGTGGATGCAAGGTGTTGTGAGTGAGAGCCAGCTGACTGGGAGTAAACACCCAGCTGTAAATATATCTTTGGCAGGTATCCAAGTGTCACAAATCTGGTCTCCTTTGTGCCGGCTTTCTTGTCTGCTTCATATTTACGTAAGTCGAGCATCAAGGGATGAAAATGTCGCATATGTAATTATCTGGAAGTGTGTAGAAGGATGAACGTTTCTGGTCGTTTCCTATTCCTTGGGCCGCGCATGTTAGGTTGCGTAATTATTGGCTTACTTTTTGACGTAAGATAACTTGTGTAGCTCGTGGGTATCCAATTATGACCTTCAGTGGTTGATGTGCACACAAGTACATCAATCAAGTCTTCAAATGATTTTGGGAAGCAAAACTCCTTCGATCAGCCAAAGATTAGGGTGGTGAGAAGGTCAAGGTGAACCACTTCAATGTATGGGTAATATGGGTGGTTTCACTTTCACTGTTACAGTCACGGGTGCACATGGTCATGATATCATATCAGTCTTGAAGTCTTGGCGAGTCTCCCTGAAACGGGCTTTTGTTTACTCACTTGGCAGTGGACAGTCAATGGCTGGAAGTCTGCCAATCAGACTAGTGCACTTAAACGTGGTAGTCTAAATAAATAGGTTGAAAGAACGGTTACTGATAGTAACCTTAGGTATATAGTATAAGTTACATGCACATACATAATTGTGAGTCATTGTTAAATTACTTGATGCTTATAAAATATTCAGTAATTTTATTACCGAACTACTACATATATTTAATGCAAAATGAAGTGAATATATACAGTACACTGTATAACATTTTCTGTTGTTCCCAGTGAACTTCAAGTTTATGTTAGAACTGCCTTTGATGTTCTGTGGCTACGTCAGTGTAATGTAAAGATCAATTCACGGTTGGGAAAGGTTTTGTTAGCCTCACCAAAACATTTGTTGGATAGAAAATTATTTGCAGTTTACCATACTTAAGAAGTGGCTAGGAGGCTGTCATCTACTTGCTTTTCCATTTAGATTATGTTATCAACTTGCTAGTTTTAATACTTTATGATCATAAAATGTAGGTCCGGCAGGATCAAGAAAAAAAGACAAGTGTGAATTTATGAAAATTTGTGAATAACCCTTCTAAAAGTTGAGAGTTATTGGTGGCACCTTCCCTGTAGCTCCTAAGAATTTTCATGGCCCTTAATATATGTGCTCTGAAGATTTGAAAGCTGGGGCCAAAGTTTTATATCTGCCATGTAGGTACAGTATTGTATTTTGTTTTGTGAAAATTTTTGAAACCGGCAAAGACCTGATAGCTACTGTAGATATATGAGAAAAGAACATTTGCAGTGTGTATGCGAGTGTGTGACCCAATAAGCAATGAAACAAAGTGAAACTGTTCTGTTGGTATTATTATCGTTTCGGGCATCCAGCGAATTTTAAGTTAGTTTGAAATTATGGTTTTCCGATGTTTTTATTTATTTTTATGTGTTTTGAACAATTCTGCCCTTCAGTTCTATCGCGGATGACCGAAAGGATAACTTTACCAAACCGTGAATTGTTTTTGTGTCATTTGTTCAGTATAACCTGTAAACCGTCATTACCATACATACCGTGCAATTTATGACCTTAATGCAGTAATCTTACTATCGGATTTGAAACCTCTTTGTTTGGGGGGAATGCAAAGATATTACCTGTACTGTACTGTTTATATAACAAAATTTTACAGAAATCCAGATTGTCTTGATTTGATATATTTTTTCTTTTACTGTAGCTACGTTTTATGATCACCTTTACAATGATACCACAACTCATGTTTTGTAGACCCAAAGGTGTGTACTGTATTGCACCCATACTGTAGTCCAAGTTTTTGGTTTCTTACAGAGGGAATTCCTCCAAACTGAAAGCTTACTGTATGTGTCTCACAAAGATGGTGCAGTGACTCTCAGATGTTTAGTCATAAGAGCATTAAGCTATGATTATATTGTCAGATACGTAATGAGAATTTTGCAAACAAATTAGATCAAGTATTATGTTACCAAAGTATATGTACAGTATACTGTACTGTATATATACAGTACAGGGTTAATATATAGGACTAACCCACTGGGCTGCTTAGAGCCGATGTGGCCGTATCATCTCGCGTCCAGAAAAATGCCTCAAATTTCACCATATCATAGTAAGTTCTTTCTGTTTAATATACCAGGGAAGTTCGGTAAGGTTAGGTAGGTTTGTTTGGTATTGTTGGTTAGGTCTGTTCTTCATACCCACAAATATTATGTAGCTTTTATTTAAAAAAATAAATTTAACATATTTCCACAAACTACAACAGTGTTCACTATAATATAACAATAAATATCCGGCATTTTTATAATTCTTTTCAATCAATTTCGCTGACGGGTTAGTCCTATATAATTACCCGGTACAGTATTGTACAATGCATAGGAATGCTTGCATATGTTTTGTATTGTGCTGTATACTGTATGGGTAAACTTATCGCTTCGGTCATTCACCTATTTGGAAGTCGTTCAAAACACATCAAAACCATCAGAAAACATAATTTCAACCTAACCTAAACTAACCTAAACTTGTAATCCTAAAATTCACTGTATGACTTAAACAATAATAATACCTACTGTATTTTTATTTTTTTTTACGGGCATTAGCCCACCCGGTCACAGGTCATTTTATGACCCACATCAAGGTCTGGTGGATAAAAATATAATAGTAATAAAAATACTACTAATAATAATAAAGAGCCATAAATAAATAAAAAAAATATCAATAGTGAGAAATGGTATATGTCCCGGGGGGGTATGTTGTGTTGTCAAAGTAAGAGACACAATTGAGACTGCAATGGGCAAGTTGACTGTCTGAATTTTTTCATAAGATGGCAGGTCAATGGGTAAATAAAACGCTTAAATTCACTATGGTAATGATATTTAAAAAAAATGGGCTAAAAAGTGTAAAAAATAAGGGTTAAAGTTGCTAAAAAGTCACGTGATTGTGAAAAGCTCTGTGATTGGTTGTGACATCACAAACTAGCTCAAGCCACCGAGTGGGAGCCTGTAGGCAGCCAGCTGTGCTGTATGTGTTGTTACCAGCAGAAATACAGGACTTGTGGCCATATACAATGTTGATGTATACAGGCATACCTTATTTTTAGGTTAAAATAAAATACTGCTCAAGTATCATCGTGTGTATTTACTTGCTAGGTGCCAAAATGATGCAAAAGACCGATAACTCCATCATGGAAGTTTTCATCACTGTTCTCTATTTCATGTCTGGAAAATGTAAGTTTTCGTCACTGATGTCTATATTTAATGTTGTGGAAGGACTAGGGACGACCATGGCCAGGGGATGGGCTTTAGGTGATCAGATGGCAGATGTAATTTAACGTGTTTCATAACTGGATGGCGTAGTTCTTGATAATACTCTCCAATCAAAAAGACATCTACTTTTGGTAAATTTCTTTCTTCTGCCGTGATGAACCCTGGAAGTAGTTGTCCAACCTTCTTGACTGATCGGCTCTTTATTGTGCAACACAGTAATGCTATACAGTATTGAATATATAAATATTACTAAGCACATTAAATAAGTCAATGTATATTAGCTGCCCCTACTACAAATTTCATAGTACGTATAAGCATTCCAAACAATATTGGTATTATTTTGGTTTTGGTCATCTGGGGAACCTTAAGATTCTTAATATGGGATTAAGTACTCTAAACAATAAGACACATTATCTCTATCGGATTTCTGTCACAAAACGTTTTTCTATTGCATAAGAAAATAGAAGTCATGGGTTATGTTAGGGTATGTCAAGTTATATTATAAGTTATAAGATTAGCTTAACATACACCTGTAAGGGGGGGAGGGTATTAACTCAAAACTAGTGATTTCCAATAGAAATGAAGTTCTAAATCATTCATAACACATCACAAACCATCAGAAAACACTTAGTCTGCTTGTCTAAGTATAGGGATGACTAAAACTTAAAATTTACCCAATACTGTATAGCCTATCTCAAATCTAAGCATCCAAATACCTATGGTAGTTTAAGTAAAATTTTAACCATTAATTAATACAGGTATAAATGATGATATATCCCAGTGGTTCATTAGTGAATCATCAAAACAATAACAGCACTATGTTGTCATCAGCCATTCTCAAAAAAAGTCCAGACAATATCATTACGTACCTCTAAATTGACTCGTATCTCCATCTCTGCGTCGTCTGCAGGGAAGGTGGTGACGTCATTGCAAATGTCGGCCCTGTTTCTAGAGAAATAAACTTATCTCGACCATTATAGCAAGACATTAAAATTTTATTACAAATTATATATACCGTACACTTGACGAACGTGGCAGAGTATATTTCTTGTGTTTACCTGGAACCGACAACTCGTCCATTGTGTGTAAATGAGCCAGAAAGTCAGGTCAGCAACCTGGGACTTGTTACAATTTTGGTGAATGGAAATAAAGTCACAGGATGAAAAGTCACATGACTTGTACACATTGACAACACAATATACAGTACAGTATACTGTATATGATGGCATTGCACGTAAGTTAGGTTAGGTTTTTTCCGTGCCTTTTATTGCGACTCTTTTTCTTGTGACCTTTTTTCCTGAATTCACAATATTTGTGGTGCCATAATGCAGCAGGGTCTACCATTAGACAACACATTATTCTTCCAATATCTTCCCAGGCAGTTGTACCTTCCTGTTTGATAGGTGCCTACTGTATTTGGTACAGTAGTTGTAACCGCCAATCAGACGGTTAGAGGGTTTAGTGAAACTTGTGACGTTGGACTCAAACATTATAATTTGGTCAGACCTTTTGGATACAATTCCTTTTAGTATTTCACATAAATCATACATAGGCAATCACATAAATGTCTAATCCAATATATATTTACAAAACAATCATAGCTATGTAATCAGTCTAATCTTACCACTTATAATGAGTACTTAAGTTTCCATATTTTTATGTCGTCACAATGATAAACGAAGCAATGGACCCAGTCTACCTGTGTACACAATAAATACAAGTTAAACTTACGTGTTGAAAGTCTTCAGGAGAAACAGTTTAGGTGTTGGTGGTGTGATGAGGATAGCTAAAGTGAGGCTGGCGGTGCCCGGCTGGGCACCATATGATCAAGTTGGCCACTTCAAACTCGCTGTGTCAGGCGTATTATACGCAAACAAGCTCACCTCCCACCACCCAACACCTCAACCTACTCCATCTCAACACTATATACTGTATACGGGCAGGCACACCCAATAAACATGACATGAGTTACAGCCGAACATAACATTCGTTTATATGTCATCATAATTATGTACCGCTTGCGGTAACAGTAGTTCTATCTAAACTTCATCCAACTTCAACTCATTTGTTAAAATTGTGTTCCCTAGTTGTTGTTTTTTGTACAAACTGATTCTTAATTTTACCTCTTAGATTTCAGACAGTAATAAGTTTAATGGAATGCAAATAAATGCAGAGAATGTAAACCCTCATACCTGTACTGTTCAGGTACTGTACAGTATATCCAAAAGGCTAGTTATGATGAGGTAATTTCCAAAATTCTTTACAAGTAGATACCAGTTCTAGCTTTTGATTAATACCAATAATCATAATTTTCATGATTTTTCCTTTGTAAAACACTAGTACAGTATTTAATATTGAAATAACCAAAGAAGAATGACTTTGTTCCATTTTGGAATGTGAACCGCTTCCCTTTTATGGTGAAATGTGGGCATGAAGTTGTTTAATGGTGTATCTTGTACTGTGTAGCACATATTAGCAACGTACTCTTCTTTTGTATAAATATAGCTGCCTTATTGGTTTTGACAGTTTAATTTTGAGTTTAATATTCAACTATAGTTGAATGTGTTTGAAGTTCAAATAATGTTTCATAAGTTACCATTGCTTAGGATAATGTACAAAAGACCAGTAATTTAGGATTGCTATAGGTATAAGTTTAAGAATTAATGAGATTGTCTGATGGAAAACCTTTCAGTATACAGTACTGTATCAGATTATAGAGGAATTTTACCAATTGACGGAGGTTCATTTTGTATTAAAATTTTAATAATCATTGAAACAAGTAATTACTGTAATTGTTTCTGCTTGCCAACATTTCAAACTTAAGTAGTATAAGTTGAATATAAATTTTATAGTACTGTACCATTAACATTCGTGATAGCTGCTTCCTCCATAGCAGGGTCAAGGTAATCACACTTTCACTTGGCCATGTGACTGATTCCTCAGACTGATGGTTGACAGTCAGATGATCACTTGGGTTTGGGAGTGGATAGAGTAGACTGTCTTTCATACATTAGATAATACAGTACAGGTATATGTATTATCAAAACTTTATATGAGCGTTTGGATTGTGTTTTGACAGGCATTACTCATACTGTCCTGTGGATATAATGCTGTGTTGGTGTGCTCATGAAAGTGCTAATCACTTTGCTGTACCTTCTAATATTGTGTCGGCATTTGCAAATACAATGCCCTTTGAAGCTTACATATTTAGAGTTGTTCCAGAACTAGTAATTAAATGACTATTTTCTTGCGTGTAGAAATCTTCAAGTGAGATCTGCACCGGCTGGATTTTAAGAACTGACAACTTTCAAGGTAGCTACAGTATAGGTTACAGGTATTTAATTTTATTTTATTTGTGATATTGTGTACCTTGTACTGGATTCCTTAATTCTGTTGAACAGTTTTTGCTTGCATTGGTACTCTCCAACTACTTGTCCTGGAACTTGGGCCGTATTCAAGATTGTTTAGCTTGAGATCTCCTTATGGGGAATGCCCACGTTTTGCATTCAAGAAGCATGGGAATGCTCATGGCTGAGCAATGCTCATGGATATTACTGGAATTTTTGTGGGAAGGGGGTGGGTGCCCGAAGCAAGCCCTAAGGGTAAATCAGTGTTGACTATTAACATAATTGCAATTATGGCATTGCTCGTGGTGCTGGGTAGGTAGATCAAGACAATAGATGGCGTGGTTCGTAGTGCTGGGTAGGTAGATCATGACAATTGGTGGCGGGGTTCGTAACACACATTACAAGGTACTTTACTCAACATACGTTAATACTGAAACCAGCAGATACATGGGTCCACTACCCAACATGGGATAATTATTTCCAACTAATTATCCCCAACATGTATTACAAAACCCTCTGTTGACATATAACTTCCCAGGAGTGTCCCGGAGTAGAACACTGGGGCTCAAAGACCGTTGTTGTGGTCGGTGGTAGCCAGACATGGCGAGTCTGGGGTCTGGCACCAAGAGGCAGTGGAACAGATTAATCAGGCCGCATCGGTGCCATCGTTTCATATTGATCCCTGCTGGGTATCTACTGCATCCGGGGCACAAATGGATCTGGAGGCAAAGGGGAGAGCATGGCGTCAGGGGAGGGACTGGGAAGCATGAACAACACAATCACAACAAACCTCTTGTCTAGGAATGACAGACATATTTACGTTAGATTACTTCTTACACTGGGTGAATGACAATTAAACTGTCAAAGCATGAACACTGATGAACACTGATATTCACTACAATTGACTGAATCAAACTGAATGGCTACACATAAACATACCTGGAGGCAAATGGGAGCATGGCGTCAGGGGCGGTCCGACTAATTACCCAAATGTAGCCGCAATGAAGTCAAATAATGGTCCTGCATGAATAATTCGGACTGCCAACCACTTCTCGACTAGTATTTGGTGTCACAAAGTCAAAAGAAAATTGGAAAACATAATTTAAACGGAGTTAATAGATCGCGTGCTTGTACCGAGGGAGCGAGTAATTACCCAAATGAACCCAAATGTAGTCGCAATGAAGTCAAATGATGGTCCTACAAGCGTAAATCGGGCTGTGAATCACTTCTCGATTATTATTTGGTGTCATAAAGTCACAAAAAATTGGTAAACTTAATTTAATCTGAGTTGTTAGGTTAGGTACATGCACTCGATCTATTAACTCATTAAATTAAGTTTACCAATTTTTTGTGACTTCGTGACACCAAATACTAGTCGAGAAGTGATTGGCAGTCCGATTTATTCATGTAGGACCATCATTTGACTTCATTGCAGCTACATTTGGGTAATTAGTCGGACCCGTCAGGGGAGGGACGCTCGCCCTGCCTCATCCCTTGGTATATATATATCCCCTGAGTTGCCAGTGATCGCTACTCACGCAATGACAATAATTACAAACAGCTCTAACTGTTACTCATTCAAAGATGACCCTCAGTTGACAAAGGTCTGGCAAATTACTTGAGTTCATTTACACAGACTAATTCAAATTAGAGCTTCCCAGGAGAAAGTGGAATAACAACTGATCGACAACTGTTGTCTCAATGGCGGGACAAGTGTAGCATTGATGGGGAAAAACACTTCTTCTTCTCGGGGATTGCTAACCCACTCATGTTTTGCGGTCGTGGAGTTTGATAAGAATAATTTGTTAAATAGACTAGCAGTCAACGTGACCATGACACCCTGTGATTATCGAGGATACATGTAGTTTGTCACTTTTTGTTTCTTGCAAACACTAGTCATGGCTGTACACATTAAAAAGATAAGTGGTAGTGAAGCAGCCTGTAAATATTAAGTTTTGTGACTTAAGAATGTAGCTACTAGCTACCATATATACTATAGCTTGACATTGTTGATTTTTTATATTACAGTACAGTTTCATACTTTAGAATTGGGAGTAAAAATATGCATTGACTGATTCAAATTTCTTGTTGGCTCGTTTAAGTTGTTCCTTGAGCAAAATATTTTTCTTATCTGATAATAGTAAAATTGTCGTACAGTGGTTATCACTCACAACAGCTTGGCGTTTCAAAGACGTGTGGATGGACCAGATCATCAAACAGGATGTAATGTTTAAGGTCTGCAAGCTTGTTGAATCACTGTACTATTTATAAACTGTACAGTATTAATAAACCTAATGTATTTATTATTTTTACCCCAGTAAAGTTTTTTTTTTTTTCAGCATAACCCAGAACCCTCATCACAATGAATAGGGCACGTGTATTGTCACATTTACTGTCTCGGGTACCGCCTGGGACACCTGTGACAGCAGTACGAGCCTGGCTTATAGGAGGTGCACGGGGTAAAGCTTCAGCACCACCCCCACCAACAGCCCTTGCTGCTGAACCTTTCTTGAATGGTTCATCCTCAAATTATGTAGAAGAAATGTACAATGCCTGGCTTCATGACCCTAAAAGTGTACATCAGGTTCGTAACTTTATCATTACATTACACTATCTCTTCACACCTCCCATCATCAATTCAGTTATTTTTTTACCAAAAGCCTCGACTTATATCGGGAGTGACTAAAAGAATAGTCTCCCACATTTCTCGGGGGATCCATGGGTTCATTCTGTTCTGACATGTGTGTGCAGTTGTTTTTTCATCATATCTGTAGGTACCCTCAAGGTATGCATTCAACTCAGAGCTCACTCTATATAGATACTATGTACACTGTAATAATGATAAAGAAATGGTGTACCCGCAGTAAAGGGGTAAGAAAATAGAACCAATTACACAGTTAGGGTTTTTTTTTTTTTTTTTTCAAAGTGAGGCAAAACAGTACTTGCATAAAGGGATCATAATAAATCTTGATAATAATTTTTATTCTGCTTTTCAGTCTTGGGATACATTTTTTCGGAATACATCCGCCGGTGCACAGCCAGGAGAGGCGTACATGGCACCTCCCTCCCTAGCCCAGCCCACACGACATCATGTACCCCTGTCATCCATAGCCCCAGCCATAAGTCCTGCAGTCGGTAGAACCCCACTCACAGATAACGTTATTGATGATCATTTGGCAGTACAAGGTATCATCCGAGCTTATCAGGTGGGTGTTCCTTATTGTTACTGTATTGTAAGTTGGTCATTTAGAGATGAAATTCGCTGAGTAATATATGATGATTTATTAGAACAGAATACAGTACTGTATAAGTTGCCAGTCCCTAAGCTCGTGTTACTATTAATGGGAGAATGATATTAATAAATGGTCAAAATATATCTCGGAAGAATATATATTGTTGCATAAATAATATTACAAGGTTTGCAGTGGTGAGTAACAGTTATAACTACTGGACTGGTCTATTCTGCTGCTACATTGATTGATGGTGTCTCAAATTTTTTTTTATATGAAGTCAATGTAAGTGTTGTCTCCTTGTAAGAGAGAAGTTCAAAGCATGAGGCTTCTTGCTAATACTCTATTGTTCCTGGATAGTATTTCAGGTAACGAGAAGAGGAAGATAAAGGCATATTATCAACATAGCTCGAGTTTTTCATGTAAATGTCGGCCCTAATATAATGGTGACTTTAACTTATTTTATTTTATTTGTATTTTTTTTTTTCAGATTATATAGGATGAACCTTAACCTAAAAAAACTTGAATCATTTTCATGTTAAATTTTATGGAGTTTGATAAAACAGGCATGAAGATATATAGTATATTTACTGAGATGAAATAGGCAGAGATTGAAAGTTTAAATACCAAATAGGTTTTTTGGAGGATGGTATGTTACTTGTATGGAAGGTGTATGCTAGTATACTGTACAGTAAGTTATGGAAAATTATTTGAGATTTAGGAATACAGTACCTTACTTAGATATCAGTGAGCAACGATGCAAAATTTAATTGAATAGGCAGAAATAAGAAAGTAGATGATCTGGCTTGCCATTGGTATAACTCATTTGCCGAGGACAAAATATGGACAGTGTGCAATATAGGTCCTTAATGATGCTCAACTAGAAAAAACTTGATAACTTCTAAGGTTACACTTTGTTAATCTCTTATCAGTAAGGAAGTGTGGGTGTATTTTGTGCTTGGTGCCACTTGGGAAATACTTAGAGATCTAAATGAAAGAAAAAAGCACTGTTGAAGTCTCTATACAGTGGAAGAAGAAATAATATCTGATCACTTGTCCTGAACCATCCAGAGAAGCTTTACTTTTTGATATGAGAAACTGAATCCTTATCAGAGTTATGTTAGAATGTTTATGAAATGACCTAAGCCATGTTTTTCTTGATGATTGGTTACTAAGAGATATGCAAAATCTCAGAGGATTGGTAAAAACACCCAGAAAACTTTTAGGATTGTTAAGAATGTGGTCACCAACCCTCAGATATGAGGATGGCACTGATGATTGATTCATAGATGATTACAGCATAAGCAATTGTAAAAAATATATTAAAGAAAACTAAACACGGTCTTTACTTCATATAGCACTCATTGCATAGTTCTCATGAAGTAGCAAAGGCATCTACCAAGAAAAACTTAAAAGTTAATGACATTATGGACATGTTTGTAGATAGATGCATGGTGTAGTACTTATTTATGGATAAATTGAGAGGAGTTAGTGAGATTCATAAATTCAGTGTTGAATATAAAGGCAATTTGTATTTGTTTAGTGAGGTGGATCCATGGGTGATATATTCCATAGTCATGTACAGTATATGGCACAGGTTGAGGACTGACTATAGCAATAATTATTTTACATTAGGGTTTTTGCAATAATTAAAGCAAATGGATATCAGTAGATGAAGAGAGAAATAAGTTTTTTCTTGGTTCTGGCCACTGTGCACTATACCACAATGGGATCTGCAAGGCTAGGAAAAAATTAGTGTTGGTCCACAACCAATAATTAACAACAATTGTAAGTGTGTGAAGTGGATCTTGCATGACTAACCCACATGTACTATAAGTAGGGGAGAGGATTCTAGGGTTTATGTTTGTTAGTTAATTTTTATTAAATAACATCTTTTCTTAATAATACCTTTCATACATCAGTAGTTTGTACATTTTCCTAGTACACATCAGAGAAGGTTGACATAACATATTTTGTTTTGTTGCAAAATTATTTTCATTAATTATTTATGTAATGCAGGAATACTTTGGGTGAAGGTTCTGTTTAAACATGCTCAGATCTAAACCTATTTATATTATACTAGATACAGTACATATTTTAAAGAGGATAGGTTAGTGGCAATACTGTAGTGTGTATAATGAGATCTCTGGAATTATTAAGTGGGTTTGGCTATCTTAAGATACAGGTATCCCTCGCTACATGAACATTCACTCTGCGAATATTTTCGGTTTTACAAATATTAAATTACAACTCTTCTTCACTATACAAAAGGTATGGTCCCTTAAGGTAATGTACCATATTAATATTTAATTAATAAATCAATGTGCTAGATGCTATATTACAGTAATTAGATATTAAATTACAGTGGCTAGGTACTAAGTTTCAGCAGTTCTTGTTTTTTATTTATTTATTTTTTTAACCTACTGGTATTTCATTTTTTCTAGGTACAGCATGCTCTTGAAATTTGCGGGAGGTTAGGTTCTCAAAATGGCCGTGAATAACATTAGCTGACCAGGGGTTGGGGGATACATTTTTACGTGTACAGAGAAATGTATTTTCCCTTAATGTGTTTGCCCTTAGGACAATTATTTCTTTTACCTGTATTGTATATATGAGTATGTAGACACACACAAATAATCAGAAAAAAACGTTAAAAATGTTGAGTCTACCCTCAAGTCTCCTCCATGCTCTATTAATAACAAAGCACTGAATGGAGTTGAGGGTGGACTCAATGTTTTTTTATAAAAAAAATTCTGATTATTTGTGAGAGGATTTTCCTATTATTATTTTTTGTATGTGTTTTGTGTGTGTGTGTCTACACACACTCATATACAATACAGGTAAAGGAAATTACTGTCTCTAGAATGAATAGCTCCCTGTCCTGGCCACAAAAATGCCAGCAACTTTAAAACTACCCTTAGACATTTTTGGGTACATCCAGGGTGTCATCCGTGAATAATAGAGGACCGCGAAATACATTCCGCGAATTATCAAGGCGTACTGTGCAGTATAATATTGAGGTTTTCTTGTTATTGGGGAATCTAATCCTGTTTTTTCCCCTTATGTTATTTTATTTGATATATGACTATTCACTTAATGAATGGTTTACAAGAAACATAACCCATTCATATAGTGAGGGATACCAGTGCAGTATTAGTAAAAATGAAAACAATGGCACTGAAGAACTTTTGAAGTACAGGTACATTTTCTGTGGAAGTGGCTAATGAAATGATAGGGTAGAGAGTGAAGAGATCATTAAGACAATCTTATACGTAAATAATACAGTAAAATGATTCAATGTGCATGTATAAAAATGTGTTGATTGAAAGGGTGGCTCGGGATTATTACGGCAAAATAGATTTTGTGAGAGAGAGCATGTGAATGAGCTATAAATATGTAGTACTGCAGTATACCTCCCCCCCCAAAAAAAAAATCCCAGAAAAATGACTAAAGTTGCAACACTAGTCCTGGATTGTGTGTCAAGTTAGAAGAATGGGAGAAAATCCTTGCTGATGGACTCATTGAACAAAAATGTGTGAAGTATAAAAGTTTGAAAGTTTTTATTTTTTCCAGTTAAATGTTCATTCATGAATTTTTTATGGAGCTCATTTATTCATTTTGTATTTTTGTTATATTGTTTATGAGTCAATGTGGACCTCTAGCACACTAGTCAATGAGGATGTATGGCTGACACTGGGGTATTTAATTTTATATACTACAGTGTAACATGTTTTTGGTAAATCCTCAAATTTATAGATATACTGTACAGTAAATATTTATTTCTCATAATTGAATCATAGCTTGTTATCTGTTTATTGAAATGCTTTTTGTTTTTATAGTATTAAGAATGCAAGTAATAAGATAGACCAATATGACCAGTTATATCTTCTCTGCATTATAAAAGGAAGGCCAATATGACCAGTTATATCTTCTCTGCATTATAAAAGGAAGGCCAATATGACCAGTTATATCTTCTCTGCATTATAAAAGGAAGTGGGATAACCAACAGGTTACATGTAAATCATTTGATATCAAGGGACTTACATATACTGTACATGTAATCTTTAAGTGCATGTGATTTACTTAAGATTTGTTGGATAAACTCACTTTTTTTGTAGTTTTAACAGTAGCGATGGTTTTTAGAAGACTATCAATTGGAGTTGGTTATATCATGCTGCTTCGCAGATAATGGTAAACAGGGTGAATTTAGTACTTATGAATGTAGATGATCTACACATCTGATTTGTAGCAGAAATCTAGTGTGTAATGAATAGCTGGGTTGTGTTTATTCACAGTACAGGAACTAACATGTGGCATGTTTGTGTACACATAAAATAACAGGCTCGTGGCCATTTGATTGCTGCGTTGGACCCTCTGGGCATTGACCGCGAAGCGCTCTCAGAACGACCACCATCGACGATGCCCAGCAGAATTGTAGTGCGCAACTATTTTGATTCAATTGGTATGATTTTTGGAAGAGTAAATGCTAAGTTCCTTAATCCTCAAGGGTGCAAGGAAGGTACATTTTATTGCAAGGAAACTGGACTTGGCTGGACAGTTTGTTCCCCTTCTCCATCTAATCTCTGGCTACTCTTTAACCACTTTTCCTTTTCTACAATTTTACTCAAATAGCAAATTAACAAATTGATGAGTTTCTGCTTATTTCCGTTGAATGTATTCTCCCGCAAGTGGATATGGCTTAAACGTAGAAATATGCACATACTACAGTACTGTAAACTGTATTCACTGTGTGTATTTATTTATGTAGTGTACAGTATACATTTTTATGTGAAATAATTGTTGATAACCCAACAATTTTGATTCTACAGAGAAATGGTGAAATTTAACTTGCATTTAAGCTCATTGCAGTTAAAAAAAAACTTTAAAGGATATTTCTTATATAACGAATCATGTACAGTAACTTATTTTATTTTTCCATTGGTATAGTGAAACCTCTATTTAACAGCCTGTAAGAAGAGTAAAGTCTGTTATATTGAGGGTCGGTTAGATGTGAAACCTCCATCTAACGAGCTATACATAGGTGAAAGTCCGTTAGACATGAAATCCCCTTCTAGCAGAGTATATGGAAAGAGAAGTTCATTTTATGGAGGTTCTATTGTATATTCAGTTGATAACCTTCAACTGTGACATTTAACCATCATAGATACAAGAACTTTATCCTTAAGGTTTACAGTTTGTGCTGGGAGAGTGGAGGGGTTGGTTGATAACTCTATTCACCAGTGATGTATAGGTCATGGTGGAGGAGGTAAATATTAGTTTCAGGGTTTTTGTTTTGAACCAGTTGCTGGCCAGGTTTACCTTTGTAACTGACACTCTTGGCCACTCTAATTTTGTGGTTGTTTATAGAGAAATTGCCAACACCGCTTTCAGTAACTTGTATTTATATCATTACAGTACTTAGGTATGCTTTAGTTTATCCTCTTAGTGATGTACTGTATATTACATAATCCATGTACTCATGATCCCATACCTCTTACAAATATCCGTTAGCCTTCTTCCTAAACCCTTAACACAAACCCTGACCTTAATTAGACAATATATGTTAAGCTTTCCAAGATAGACAAGGATGAAGAATAAAGGCTCTCAAGTTGAAATATTTATATTTGTATCTGAAGGAAGAGGATTTAATTGGAACATATAAGGAAATATTAGAAAGACTCGTGGGTAAAACTTTACTGATATTGTATGGACATGAAGATGATTTATGGTGTGGAAGACATATAAGGAAGAGAAAACGACTGTAAATGATGTTAGTGTAGTTTTCCTGGGGAGTGACAGGTGACAATATGAAAACAGTGATTTCAGTATATTTTTCAGCTGTCAATTTTACTCCCAGGTCAAATGTGTTTCACTCCTATTTGGCCCCCAGTTTAATCTAACCATTAGTTATGGACCCAGTCTTAATGTTTAGGTTAGGTTGGGATATGGTGAGACTGGGGCCCATTTGACCAGTTATTCATAAAAAATTATAAAGATGCTGTGTCAGATTACCTCGTATGCTGAGATTTGGAATTACTGCGTCTCGATCATATGGTATGTGATTAAGTTGATCTCTTTCTAGAACTTTATGGGAGGTGTCAGCACTAATAGTAAACATTTTTAGAACTAATTCAAAGCATAGAGCATTATTAGAAATAATTCATAGCATAGAACATTATTTAAACTTAAAAAAACATAGAACATTATTTAAAATCGTGAATAACAAAGAACATTATTAATTTTAAACTGTATTTAATAACATAGAACATTATTTACACCATCAATAATAACATGCAATATTATTGGAGCTGTAACTAAAAACATTAAATTATTTAGACTGCTATTAGTAACATGAAACATGATTTAGCCCTTTCCTTCCAGTAGGGCACTTACCCTCCCCTAACTGTTTTAGCTCTGAGACAAAACACACACACACACACAGAAGGCAAAACAACCTTTAGAAAATAAAACACCCAAGCAACTATGGAAATGGGAGGAAAATAAAATTGGCTTACTTCAATGCCTGTGTAGGGCTGTGAACCATCTATTGCTCTATTTCGCAATTTGTACACACAGTTGGTCCATAGGGAAAGGGTTTAATTGTTATCAATATCATGGAAGATTATTTAAACTTAGCAGTAACAGGGAACATCATTTATTGTAAAAAAAAATAAGGAATAATGTTGAAACTGTCAACATCGTCACAATACAGAAATTGAGTGTTGTATTTACGAGGTTAACATGTTTGCTGTGGTAAAAGTAATCTGGAATATAAAGATTATTAGTTCTTGTTACAAAACATTGAATATTGTGTGAAACAGGTAATGGCTGCATTGCTTGGTTGTCAGTCAAATGGTACCCAGTCCTTTTGGCCCCAGTTATGCTCAATCATTAGGATTGAAGCCCATAAAACTGGGTTCCAATCAGAATGGTCAAGCTAGTTTGGAACCAGTAATGATGAGTCTGTTTGATCAGTTGCACTTCACTTACATGATGAGCAAAACTGAGAAATAACTTTCTTCAGGAATTATTGTTACCATTGTGCCTTTTTTAACAAGTGAAATATTGGGTGAAGATCTTTCTGTCTGTTTGCTCCGAGTCTACAAAGAGTTGTACATATTATCAGTTAATTGAGGATTAATGTTCACTGGAATGCTTTGAGGTTCAGTGTCTGAAGCATGTAAGGGCACTACTGTATTGTTGATGACTACGAGTATACCTACTAAAAACTGGCACTGTAAACTGCTAGTATGGTAGATCAGAATGTGCGCAAGGTATATTTTCAGATGTTGACATTTGGGAAAAAATAGTGGTAAAGGTAATTTGATTCGTGTGATGAAGTCGGCATGCCATCATTCTTAATATCTGATACAATTAATAGCCGTGCATAGTACCAAGATCTTGTTATTTGAGTCACTGTTAAAGGGCATGGACTAAGAACAATCACCAGCTTTGTATTTAGCTTACAGAAATATTTTTTAAATGTGAATTTATATACAGTATACCGAATATGGTATCTACATGCTATGTGATACCATTAAGACCTCACACTTTTTACACTTTAAAATTTGTCTTGCCTATGCAAATTTTATTTCAGTCTTAATATGCTTGCTTACAAGGCTATTCTTTAGAGGAGAATGTTGCTTATGTTGCTTAGCAGTAGAATCCCTTCTGACATATCATTTACCTCATTGACTTTGGTGTTGGTTTAACTTTCTTTTGCTATCCATTCTCATTTTATCAGCTAAGTAGGCATTCATTAGATGTTGGTGTTCTATCATTACCATCTCAATAATGGACTGCCTTTTGAAAATACGTAATTACATTTGTACATACTGTATACTTGTAGATAAAGAAAATTCTCTTAATATGTTGTATACTGTACATTGCCTACTGTCTACTCTACTCATATTGATGTAATGTACCTGAGACTGTCACTCTGGATGATGTGCCGCCTTTGATACTTTCTTTTATCGTATATACAGTGGGGTATGCTATAATGAATCTAATTGGTTCTAGAACCTTGTTCGTTATAGCATTCATTTGTTATAGGATTAATCCATTCCAGGCCCCCAAATACAACCACTTAACACTGAAAAATATAATATACAATTGTAAAAATTGTAAAAAAGTGCATAAATATGCATCTAAACCCCTGAAATAAAGAATATCATTAATACTTGTAATAAAAAACAATAAATTAGTAAAAAAAAAAAAAAAATTTATAAAATAATTTTCGTTGTAGGAGTTTCGTTCGTTATAGCATTCTCAATTTTATAGGTAAAACCGTTTGTTATAGGAATATTCGTAGTAGGATCCGTTCGTTATAGCATATCCCATTGTAGATATAATTACTGTACCAGGTATGTTTTTATTTTAATTTTATATTTTTTTATCTATAACATCTGAACAGTAAATCCCTGTTTACACTGCTTGACTTTACTTGTCATTACAACATGGTGTGAGTGTGGAGACTACTATATATACCACTGTATAGTGAGTTGCAGCCTCATTAAAACCAAGCTGGTTGTTAGTTTTGTAAGTTGTAACCTGCCCCATCCATACATGGCCATTCTTGGGTGGTGTGAGGATGACCGGCTGATCTCCTCAACAGATTCGTGGTCACAGCATTGCTAAGATTGATCCTCTTGGTATCAACACTGTGGATTCCAGCGAGAGCAGGGAACTTGTCGTCCGCAATTATATGAATCGTTTCAGTAAGTTTGCTCAGTGATTAAGGAATGCTCGATCCAGCTTGGACTTTGCTAGGTAATGGTATTCTTGGATGTGATTCAGTTGGATGTGTTCCAATATCTCTGCTGCCATGTTAATAATTTTGCCATTGTTTATTTTTATTGTATTGCTTTGCTAAACTGTGTACGTTTATTGCAATGTCATATACAGTATTGTATGCATTTTGATAATGATCTTGTATAGTATTAACTATTTCACATTTTCTGCTTAATGCCATAGAGATTCCTAATTTAATTTACACAAATCTATAAATTTTTGAAAACAAGTACAGTACATGTATTGTAATTTGAAATTCTTGTTGTGAGCTTGTCTGATATTACCTCTGCTGAGTCTCATTTTTGAATATTGTTCCATTGTAGGTGTAGATATACAATAATTCTTTTACTTCATTTTGGTGTAAATGTTTGCCTAAAGATTACCCAGATATTACTGCCATTTTATGAAGTGTGCATTATGATAGGTATTTGCATATAATTTGTGCAGCTTGACAAAGATTGGCACACTTATAAACAGTTTATTCTAAACTAGTATTTTACTAAGAAAGATTCCATGAAAAAAGCTATAAAAGGAATTATATTACGTACTCTTTTATGTAAACAACAGAAAAGCTATATACAGTATTCTTGAAAGATTGGTGTCTCATCTATTACTGTACTTTGGATGAATCACGTGGTTTTGAATTACAGTTCATTGGATGGACAAATTTACTGTTATGTTTGAATTTAATAAATTTCACATAAGACCCATCAATAATTGTAAAACATTTATAGTCTAGTCATTAGGATGATTATTGTGGTCACACTATTGGCAGTAGGCAGGTAGTCTTCGATTACCTCAGGGAGTTGCAACCTTGCTAACTGTTTCCACCCATTTGGTTGGTGCAAGGATGGGCATCCAGCCATAAAACTTTGCTTACAGCAGCTGGGTCACCAAAACTGTACCATCCCCTGGTCTCTGCTGCATTTTGTGGGTTTGTGGTGTTGAATGGGGGATATCCGGTTTTGGTTTTACGCAACAGCTGCTGCCAGGTAATCGCGGCTAACCCATGCAAGTGTGGAAAATGTCTGTAAAGCGATGATAATGCTGATGACATTTGGCAGTAAACACTCTTGTTGTGTGTTGTAAGTACAAAGGCAAAAAAAAAAAGTGTATTTGTTATAATCTTATAAAAACTGCTTGATATCACTTCCATCTGATAGGTGGTTTTAGTCTTTATTAAATTTCTTTGTTATATTGGTAAAGTAGTACTTAAAGAATGCCGTCCAGCCTGATGTATTAATTTAAAAGTGCTAACTTATGGAAGGCTGCATTTTAAAAGTTTATGAAGTACAGTGAACCCTCACTTTACGCGGCTAATTCAACCCACGGCGGCCCGCGTAAAGTGAACAACATAACATATGGGATTAATTGAAATAGAGACCGGGCCGACCCTCTAACTCCACTTTTTCCCGACACAATACGTACGTTTTACTAAAAATAACATCTTAACTTTATGATGGTATTCACCCACACATAATATAGAAGGGTTAACACTTACGTTAGTAGAAGAGATGGGTCGGCGTACGGGAATGGTGGCTGGTTCCGAGGCAGACAGCAGGCTACTGGCCCTCAGGTGAGTCACCATCACTGTTATCCACACTTGTCAGGGCCTCCCTGACAAATCCCTCAAAGTCATCATCACTGTCTCTACCTCTGTCACTATCACTGGCTTGGGCTGGCTGTGGTGGGTTGCGGGCGAAGAACTCTGTTATGCTTTGCTGACGGCTGGTGTTTATGTTGTCGTGATAAACCTTGATGTAGGGCTCCATAGTCTGCAACAGCTGGGTAGTGAAGATTTCATACCTGTTTGCGTCAGGGTCGTTGGAAAGGAGGCGCTTGGCTTTCTCGATACACTTGATGGCACCCCTAACATTACTATGGGATAAGCGGCGCTCTTCTTGGGATGATGCACCACCTGCCTCTTCACTGACGTCATCATCATCTACCATCTCGTCGGTAGTCACATCAGGATCCCTTATCACCTCCAGGATGTCGTCGTTGGTGGTCTCGGAGAAGCCTGCAGCTGTAACGCTCTGTGCAGCTTCTCTGGCAAGGTCCACTGCTACTGCAACAGTCTGAACCTCACCAGTCACAGATTGACTCTGCCTAGCGGCCGGAATGCCTTGCAACACATGTCTCCATGCGTGATGAACAGTGGCTACAGACAGCTGATCCCATGCCTCCACCAAGAAGTCCACAGCTTTCTTGACGTTGAATATTCTCCAGAATTGTTTTAAAAGTACTTCTTGCTCTGCCAACTGTTGATCCTCATCGTCTTCGCTCTTGCTACCGGTGTTGGTGTCACTCAGGTTACGCAACTCTTCCCTGGTGTTGGTGTAGTCGTTCAGGAGCTTGAATTTTTTAGTAGAGAATGCAGCTTTTACATTACAGATTAACTCTTGGTCCATGGGCTGTAATATAGACGTAGTGTTGGGAGGAAGGAAGACCACTTTTACTTTGGGGTGACGATCTAACAGTAGGGGCGAGTGTCCTGGTGCGTTGTCCAACAGCAACAAAATCTTGAATGGCACATTCTGTTGCTCACAGAATTTCTTCACATCGGGAACGAAACAGTCATCAAACCAGGAGAGGGATAGTGTAGAGAACATCCACGCCTTACGTGCGGTCATCCAGTGGACATTTAGCTTGGTCATGTCCATGCTCTTGTAGGCTTGCGTGCTGTGTGGATCACCGATAACTTGAGCTTACAGGTACCGGAGGCATTGGTGATAAACAGGACGGTGATGCGCTCCTGCAACTTCCGGCCCCGAATCTTGCTGGCATTCTTCACAACGAAGGTCTTGGAAGGTAGCTTTTCCAAAAAAGACCAGATTCGTCCATGTTAAACACCTGGTCGTCGGTGTACTGTCCTTCCTCCATAATCTCACGTAAAATCGGAGGAAATTCCCTAGCCGCAACACGGTCAGCACTAGCTTCTTCACCACCAATGTTGATATTGGTGATCTTGTTCCTCTTCTTAAACCTCTGTAACCACCCAGAGGAAGCATTAAAGGGTTTGGGCTCTGTAATTCCCATCTTTCGTGACACTGCAGCATACAGTTCACGTGCGTACTCCTTAACTGAGCGCGCGTCCACCGCCATTTTCCGTCGCGCCTGACGCACCAACTAGCTCACAAGTAATTTTTCCGTCTTGAGAAGCACCTGGTTGTAGAAATACTTGATCATAGAAGCACCTGTAGACTTTATGATGTTCATGTGCTCCTTTATCTTGGCTGCATCCTTCTTAATTGTCCTGATCGTAGACTCGTTAACACCATGCTGGCGTGCGAGATCAACCTGTCTTGTTCCTTTCTCCAACTCTTGTATGATCTTATACTTAATTTCGTAGCTTAAGGAACGTCGTGTCTTCTTTGGCTTAGGGTGGCTGGGTCCAGGTTAAGGAAAGGTTTCTCTCTGGGGGCGGTGGTCCGGCGGAAGCCACTTTACAGAACAATGGATGCACGTTTACACGGTGTGGCCTGGAGGGATGAAACTGCCGCGGCTAAGTCAAGCGTCGTCTTTCCTCCCTCCCTCCCGCGGGTGGACACATCATATTACTTTAAACCAATCACAGCTAGCAGCGGAGGGAGGTAAGGATGCATGGTCCAATTACAGTCCGATATGTCATATGACGTCACTGATAACGCAACAAAGACACACACTGCGCAACCTACTCGCGCCGCTTACACAACATGGCGGAGGGCGGGAGAGATGGCGGGAGGTTTGGATCCAAAAATGGCGCGGCTCGCCAGCCGCTCTCCGCGTAAAGGGGTACACGCACTGCGGAATGTGAGCATTCCGGTTTCGGCAGGGTACCGCGTAAACGTGGAAACGCGGAATGTGGGACCGCGTAAAGCGAGGGTTGACTGTACAGTTTTATATTTAGAATTTTTTTTTTTTTTTTTTGTATCTCCCGAGTGAAGAATAAATTGGTTTACTCGGATACCTACCGTAGTGTGGTACAGGGAAGCCTCGTTTTGCAACGGTTCAAATAATGGCGATTTTTATTTAAAACTGATTAATTTAGGACCTAATTTAAGTTACACCAAAAATTTATTCAGATTTACAATGAAAACCATGCAACAGATAGCTAAAATAAAAACTAATTTTATATATAAATAATAAATAAATAATATAAAAATATATAACATTTAATTTTTAAAATTTTCCACAAATGCGCATGGAGCTTGGTGGACTTTTGACCTGACGCCGCCGAAACACTCAGTACAGTATGTTTGTACATTTGTTCATACATATGTTGGCCCACCGTCAACATCAACACTAGTCGTCGTCTCCTGTATAATACTCCCCAAATAATGTTAATTTCTAAGGATATTATTTTTTAAAGGGACTAAAATTTAATTATTTTTAATACTGATACATCCTGTACTGTGATGCTTCACATTACAGTGGATTATTAAAAAATAAAAATAAAGAATACGATATTGAACTGTGAGGAATAAGATAAAATAATATATACTGTACAGTTACCAGTAAATGTGAGGAATAAATAAAAATAATACTAGTAAATAAAATATAAGAAAAAATTTGCATTGCCATTTGGCTATTGTTTCATTGCACACGGGAGGCAGCGAGCAGCTGAGATCTCTTGTGCCGCTCCGCCTCACCTGTTTTGTTTGCAAACACTGGTGAAAATTACATAGGTACCTGTATATCTACCTGAAATTACGATTTGAAAAATAACCATAACATAGCTCACAGCTCAGCCTAGTAGGGAAAGGGGTGTGGCTACAGTGATGAGTCTAACTTGGCAACTTGCCACCAACAATGTAAACAGATGCAATTAAAGCAAAGTTTTTATTTTCCATTAATTTTACTATTTTGAAGGGGAAAAGAGGTAAATAAAACATGCTAGGGAATGCATCTCATTATTATTGTACAGAATTGTTGCAATAGTAATTGT